GGTGCCAAATCAACATATGTACCAGTATGAGGCTGTTCCATTCCCTTAAAGATCGAATCCTGGCACGGTAATCAAATAATACATGTAGTTTCCCTTGAAGGACGAAACCTGTCACGGCTACCAAATAAGACATGTAGTACTATCCGACTACACATCTTAGTTTTTGGCCTGATCGTCTAATGGGGGGTTGGTTGGCTCTGGACTGCTACTGTTGTGTCTCTCTTCTTATAGGACTTCATCATTGTGTTTGCTCACGATACCGACTCAAATAAGTAACAGGAACAACGATAGTGTTTTTGCTAAACATTTTATGTCACAACAGTTACACAGTAGTCTACATTACAATATTTAAAATTAACATCTCTTTCTTTCCAACCCCAGTCCTGTAAAAATCTAGCCGGCATGACTAGACCCAGGAAAACACTACCGCATCAAATAGTCGTCTAAAGAATCCACATCATCTCTCTCAATTATTCTAGCCCCGCTCCCTTATATAGGTGCCTATTCTTTTGTCTATTGTCTCTGTTATTTACGTAAACAACTGATAACAGCTAAATTCCAAATATGGAATGGACATTCACCCCAAACCTGTATATCGACAGGGATTGTTACCTTATTTGGTCAACAAATCTGTTATTTTTTATAACAAAGAAAATTGTGAATGACCAACATGTTTATTAATCTATAGCTTAGTTAACGTATCAAAATAACCAGCATATACTTTCTATATTTGTGGTTATGAAGTTAGAATCAATAATATGAAAGATAACGCTATTGTTATTGTCACAAATTTCCTAAACAATTTTAATTTGCGTTTCAGAATTAACTTTAACCATAGCTAATATTTTGGCAATGGAGAATAATTAATCAAAACCATAAAATTATTTTACAAGCAGTTTCTAAGCACAAATTCTTTCCCTCCATATTACTACATAGCGTCTTTCTGGCTTAGCATAGCTAATAACGCGATATTCTGTTTGTTGTTGCTGAATTAGCATAGCTCCTAGTCCCACTTCTTTTGCATCTGAAATAACCAAGGTTCAGTTATTTTTATTAAAACAAGCTAAAGTGTCTGATTTGAAGTTTCCGAAGTCGTTTATAGACCGGGAGCCCAGGAGGTTAGCCTAGCTGAAAAGTGTACCAATTTTCACATATATGGTATCAAAGCATTGATATCTGGTATCATCAGAATGTAAGCCTGTCGAGTATCTGGTGGTGGGTGTGGCTGTGAGGGCTGGGATTCTGGGCATGAATTCTTGGGCTAGATTAGCTCAAAAGTGTACCACATGAAAATGGTACAGCAGTGTACCTTACATCTTCAAGTATTAAAAAAACATTTTGAAAGACATTTCTAGTGGTAGGGTAACCCCGCCAGAGTTATATAATTGCCAGACCACAGCTAGGCTAGATTAGCTGAAATCTGTACCACTTAAAACTGATTTTGAGTTGTTCAGCACCACCACAGGAATCATCACTGCCAGACAGTTTATGCGGTGGGTTACCCCTAACAGAACAGACACACCCAATATGCCACGCCTGCCAGCTAAGCTAGATTAGCTTAAATCCGTACCGCCTAAAACTGCTTGGAAGTCGTTCATCACCACAGGAATCATGAATGATCACAGCCAGACAGTTTGTGCGGTGGGCTACCCCTAACGCACATGCCCAAAATGCCAGCCCCGCCCCCGCCCCACCTAGGCTAGATTAGCTGAAGCCTCTACCACCTAAAACTGCTTGGAAGTTGTTCAGCACCACCACAGGAACCAAGAATGGCCACTAGAAGACAGTTTGTACGGTGGGGTACCAATGACAAAAAGCCCAAAATGTCACGCCCCACAACAAGGCTACATAAGCTGAAGGATGATGCCACCCTGGGGAAATTCTAATATTCAAGATGGCCGTCATGAGACATTTTCTGGTTATTTACTTTAATTTAGTGGGGTAAAATTCGGGAGAGATTCTCTCGAACCTTGGTATGAAGGTAGTTTCTATAAGAATTTGACCCATTGAATCCGACGAGCTTAGGTGTTCCTCCTCAATGTGACTGCTAATTCCACTAGGAAGCCAAATTCACAATGGAGGCTCAATTGTTGAAGGAAACTCATAATGTTCCCTAAAACGGCGTGTAATATATTGAAATATAGCTTTTCGTTGTCAATTACTTCAAATATAAACATAAAAAACATGTTTCGACCAAAAGGTATTCCAATCCGATGATATTTTTTCCATTGTATTCTTATAAGGACACAAATTATACACGGTCAAACAGAAATCAACCACCGGGCCATCGTGAGTCGAAAGCAAATGTGACCCGCCATGGCATACTGAGTCGGAATGAGGAAATTTTGAAAATTGAGTTATTGTTATTTTCACATTCTCCGACTCATTACCTTCAATTTGATGTATAGTTTGTTTGAATCGGGTAAAAATTGACTGAGTTGTGACTGCTTAAAGCTATCCAACTCACCAAAGTAAGTTTTGAGAAAAATCAAGTTAAAGATTTGGTATGTTTCAAAACAAAATCCCATAGCAACCAAGCCATTTATTTGCTGTTTTGTCGTTGAATATTGTTTTCTAGAGGTTTTCAGGGGTGCTGAAGACGAAAATTGTAGTAAAAATTTGAGCCGACAATTTCCGCCATCTTTTTTTTTTAAAATGGACGCCAAAATGACAGATTTTCGAGTTTTCATAAGTTATGTGTTTATTAATGTCATTGAATGGGTTTTGGGGGGTGCTACATCAAAAAATTGCAGCATAGAGTAAATCCGATAATACCCGCCATTTTGTTTTTTCATAATGGCGACCGATATGATAATCGTAGTAGTAAAATTAATCCGACAATATCAACCATTTTGTTTTAACAAAATGGCGACCAAAATGACAAATATACTTTTTTTTTATCACCGTATATTTGTAACCGGCTGGTGCAATGTCATTTTATATGTTTTATTAAGCACAAAGGTTGTAGCATCAGGGGTCGACTGGACTGTATCCTCCATCTTGATTCTTTCAAAATGGCCACCAAAATTGCAATTATTGGAGTTCTTATACTTGGTACTCGTGTAATATATCATTTTAGAGGTTTTCGGGGGCGCTGAATACGAAAAACATGGTTTTGGGTCGATGCAACGAATATTTATCATTTTACATATTCGATGATTTTATGGTCACCCATCAGTTATGGTCACACCTTGCAGGATAGGGTATACCAATGAAACAACGGTATTCAACACCTTATGCTGTCAAGTATAAGAAAAGAGAACATTTTTCAAAAGACAACAGTATGCTAAAAACTCTCATAAATTTTATAAAATATAATAACAAATTGTATTATAAAGCATCACAAATTACTAGTATTTTTTTAAATAAAATATAATAACAAATGGAAAAATAATAGCACTCGAAATAGGATGATTTGTAAAAGAAAAGTAACTCAAGCACTGGAATGTGGCCATTTAGATGAGCCACGATACGGTGGGGTGCGGAATCATTTAGCTATTGCGTGTTTATTATGATAACTAATTCCGTTAACGCCCATGTCGACCACGTTTCGCTGGTGGTGGAACAATATCACTGTTCGTGGTTTGACCGCGACCACGACCACGTTTCGCTGGTGGTGGAATATTCTCCATGTTCTTCGTTTGACCACGACCAAGACCACGTTTCATTGGTAGCTGATTATTTGTGGTTTGACCGCGACCATGTCCACGTATCAACGGCTCGAACAATATCACACAGCAACCATGCCATTAAATCTTTCGTTATTTTGTTGTTTAATACTAATATTTTCTTCTTTAGGTTTTCAAGGGTGCCGAAGACGAAAATCGTAGTAAATGCGCTCTTTTCATAGCAAAACATCCACAACAAATGCGGCATATTCACATTTCCTAAGATAATTTAGAACAGTGTATATATTAGTAGTCTAAGTTTGTATATTATAACTTAATCAGTTAATCTCATCAATTATTTAGCACCTTGGTGCCAGTGGTCAGAAGATTAAGGTTGTTGATTAGGTAATCAAGTTTAGTAGCCTATCTTAATCATCAAAGAAGCCGCCACAGCTGCACGCCTGAATTAAGACTTTACGTGTACAATAAGTCTATTGTTATTTTAAGCCTCAGGTACCGTAACGGTATCAAAATATGAGTTCATAATAAAATAGAAATTTCAATTTTTATTGGCATGAAATGCTTACGTTCGTTTTGGAAGCGGTGTAATTAAAACAATGGCAGATTTTTTTTCCCACTCGATAATCGTCGCGTTTCGGCTCATTGGTCGTTCTCATTTTCCAGACCCATGGTGATAATAGAATTTTAAACAATAATAATATCCATTCTTAACTTTGCATGCCGTATGAAAGACAGTAAACGGAATTCAGCTATCAATAAAATTCTAGTCGGAAAGAAAATTATTGGCTATTTTGTTTATTTCCTTTTAAGGACTATAAATTATTTTCTAACAGACCAAACGAAACATTAAATAATCGCCGCTTTGATTAGTTATTCGGAATAAATAATGAATTGTCGGCGGCCTTATCATTGTTAATTATCAATCAACTAATCATTAATCCGTGAGAAGTGATTACGGATTAGTATTACTCAATGACACGAACGGCTTGTTGATTGATTTACAATGTTTTGATTTATAAATTAAACGAGGCTTACCTGTAAGGTGAAGTTTGATTGTAATTCTGTCCTACTGTTGACGGCTGAGAGATCATGTGAGATTGCGTGCGCATCACCTAATCGCCATATTTCAAAGAGAGAATGGTGACAAGAACCACAGTTAAAGTCAAGTAAAGGGTTGGGATACACCAAAAAACCAAAGGGTGGGCACATGATCTCTCAGCCGTCAACAGTAGGACAGAATTACAATCAAACTTCACCTTACAGGTAAGCCTCGTTTAATTTATAAATTCTGTCCTACTGTGTGACGTAAGCTTCGAGTCATGCGAGATTTTTAAAGTTGTCACGAAGAACCAACAATAAATCGAAAAACAATTTTACAAATTCAAACTTTAATTTAAACATATACTATGTTAAAATCAATACAAGATCTCAACACAAACTCAATGAAATAATAAAAGTCTGCCAATTAGGAATCTCCTAATAAATTATCAAGAATTGTTCTACCAAAAACACCACTATCATTAACAGGCTTATTGTAATATTTCCTGAAAGTAGATTCCTGGGTCCATCCAGCAGTTTGCAAAATACTGCTAATCGAAACGCTATTTCTGCTAGCTGATGAGGTAGAAGCTGCTCTGAATGAGTAAGGAGTAAATATTGATGTATCCACTCCTGAAGAAATTAACACAGTTTTAAGCCACCTAGAAATCGTATCTTTGGTAACCGGCTTAAATGGTCTCACAAAACTTAAGAAAAGTTTGTTCTCACTACCACGTAAATTCACAGTTCTCTTGATATATTCTGTATAAACTGTAGTGATACACAATCGCCGATCAGGGGCGTAACTTTGAATTGTAATTTCACTCTGATGAAAAGTTGGTCGACTTTGTTTAAGAAGATCTCCGAATCTAAACTTAAGTGAATTCTGACTTACAGTAATGTTCCGCACATCCAGCTGATGAAACGATTGAATACGCTGACCCGAAAGCAGAGCGAATAAAGCTAGAAGCTTAAAAGTTAACAACTTTAAAGAAAGTTTTCTCACAGGTGAAAGCTTGCGTAGATAACGTAACACTAAATTAGGATCCCACGTGACATTATTTCTAGGTAAAGCTGGTCGCAGCTTATATACACCTCTAAGGAACCTACACACAATGGGCAAAGATCCAACAGGTTTTTTGTCCACAAAAATAAAAGTTGACAACGCACTTCGTGCCGAGTTAATGGCGCTGTACTTCAGTCCATCTTGAAATAACGAAGTTAAAAAATTAATAACAGCCTCTACAGGAGGACAAAAGGGATCCAAATGTTCTTCATCTGAATACCTAAACCATCGTTTAATATACGTCGTGTATTGGGACTTGGTTGACTCTGTCCAGGAAGACAACAAGATTTCTTTAGCTCGTTCAGAAAAACCTCCTGTCGAACAACTTGGCCGGATACCAGCACTGCTAACAATCTCATCTTTTTCGGCAATTCTTGAACTCTTCTCGTTGGATGAGTTAAAATCGTATCTATACTAGGCAAAACAAAAGGAAAATCAATTAGCATTCTTATCAATTTGGTAAACCAATATTGAGTTGTCCACCAAGGGACTATCAAAATACCTGTGGCCTTATCTTGAAGAATTTTAGATAAGACCTTTCCAATTAAACAAAAAGGAGGGAAAGCATAAAAAGGTTGATCCCAATATCTACTAAAAGCATTTATGGCTAAAGCATTAGGGTCAGGCTTATAGGCAAAATAAACCTCTACTGTAGCATTTAATCTTGAAGCAAATAAATCGACATTCGGAACACTCCATTTATTGCATAAATCACTAAATATTTCATTACTTAATTCCCATTCACCATTATCATGTGAAGAACGACTTTCCTTATCTGCTTCTATGTTTAAAACACCTGCGATATGGCTTGAAGACAAAGAAATATTTCTCTCAATGCACCATAAAAAAATTTCTCTAGTTACATCATTATAATCAGATATTTTACCCCCTTGTGAGTTTATATATGATACAGCAGTCGTATTGTCTATAAGTAAATGAACATGCAAGTTTCTTACATGTTTACAAAAAGCAAACAGGGTAAATTTTGCAGCAACTTTTTCTAATAAATTAATAATAATAATAATAATAATCTTTATTCATGTATTGAAGCCTTACGGCCATAGTACAAAGTTAGCATATTTGAGTGAAAGTTCTGTACACTTAATTCAATTTTAATCATTAAATAACACTTTATAGATTTATGAAAAAAAAAAAAAAAAAAAAAATACAATAAAAATAAAAAGAGTGGTACATAAGTAAAGGTAGGGAACAGTTTAGTGTAGAAAGTGACTACTATTTACAATGTTATAATAGTGTATAAATAGCTATACCTATGACAATGTGGTTAGTAAAGAAAGGAATAATATCTACAATTTGAATATGAAAATGAACACTTTCACGAGATAATTGACAAACTGTATACAAGATTTATGTTTTACGTATTTTAATTGCAAAATATATAAATTTTGAGATATTTATAACGACAGTTTGTTCATTATTGGACATTAGCTTAATAAACTGGTACTTTGTATCATACTTATTATCTACGTGGATATATTTTGATCTAAGGCTATCGTATGCCGAGCATCTTAGTAGAAAGTGACACTCATCTTCGCACTCATGCAGATCACATAGACTACATATTTTGTACTCCTCTGGTAATTTACGCCATTTACAAAGCATGTTCATAAACAGGTATGATCCACAACGAAATTTAATGAGCGCGCGCTTAAATTTCTTGTCATAAGTTGACAACAAATACGGTTCTAGACCAAGCATACTTTTAAATTGGCTATAGTAGACAAGCCTTGAGTTTTCATGTAAGGAATAGTGCCATTCTTGAGCACAACATTCACGGATTCTCTGCGTGAATAGGTAGATAAAATCAGCACAATTTCCTATTGTTTGGGAAATCCATACTATACCAAAACCATACCTAAATAATAGATTTTTAACATCGCTTGCCCATGTTTTTCTACCATTCATATCCAAGTTATGTAGCATTACATACGTTTGTTTGGGAATTCTATGGTCTGGCATGCATACAAGTTTAACCCAATATCTGATACATCTATTTGCAGAATTAACAAAAAGGTAGGATCTCCCGAGTTCACCCAAGACAGCAGAGTTACTAGTATGAGGAGGCAGTTTTAATACATATTTGAAGAATTTTAAATGGACATTTTCTATCTTAGTACAAAAAGAATGTCCCCATATCTCGGAGCCATACAATAGAATTGGAAGGATCATTTTATCAAATATTTGTACAGCACAACTAAGATTAATACCTTGACACTTTTTGTCTATACATTTCATCATATTAATAACTTTCTCGGATTGTACAATCTGAACTTCTTTTGTTTTCGACCATTTAAGTGTTGTTGAGAACACAGCCCCTAGATATTTGTAGAAAGAAACAGTATCTATTGGGACATTATTGTAACTCCATTTTTCATATGATCTCAGTGGACCACCGTTTCTAAATACAAGTATCTTGGTTTTTTGGGTGTTGATGGACATTCCATATTTCTCACAAAATGATGCTAGGCAGTTAATTTGGTGTTGTAGATTAAACACAGTATCGGCCATATTTCCGATGTCATCAGCAAATAGCAAAGAGAATACATTGGGAAATACATTTGATACAAAGATACCATTACATTTCTTATTTTGCAACTCACTGACATATTGATTTATGAAGAGCGAAAATAATAACGGGCTTAATATACAGCCTTGTCTGGTACCCGTATTACATGCAAAGAAGTCAGTTAGTCCCAGTGGTGTAGCAACACAAGATTTACACTTGGAATACATGTTTCTGATGATATTGATGAATTTTCCATGGATACCTGCTTCCATCATGCTGACCCAGAGCAAGTCATGCTGGACGGAATCAAACGCTTTGTGGAAGTCCACAAATAGCAGATATATTCGCCCCCCTTTTCTCGATAGATATTTCCTTATAATACCTTGTAAGGAGAATATATTATCGACAGTAGAGTATTTTTGGCGGAATCCAGCTTGATACTCATAAATAATATTCAAATTACACCAGGATAGTAATCTGTTGTTTAATACTTTTGTAAATATTTTACACAAACTGGACAGCAAGGAGATTCCCCTGTAGTTATCGACATTGTCCACACAACCTTTTTTGTGTATAGGACTTATAATGGCCATGCCCCATTTCTCAGGGAAGATCCCGCTGTTCAGAATTGCGTTAAATATATTACAAAGGGCTGACTTTATGGTGGCCTCACTCTCTTTGATCAGTTCATTACATAGTCCATCGATGCCAGGTGACTTATTATTGCGGACACTCTTAATTGCCTGAGAAACTTCGAATTCTGTGATGGGTTTATTTAATTCTTCCGGAGTATCACTTTCACAAATATCACAATGATCATCATGTGATGTTAAAGACTCTTGGTACCAGTGGTCGGTTAATGGGCTGTTAGAGTTCAAAAGATCACGAAAATATGCTATCCATTCATCGCAACAGATTTTTGGATTGCCTGGTGTTCTCCGTAGAAGGGATTTTACTTTTCCCCAAAATATTTGCGGGTTCGGTATCGCACTTTCCAAATTACAATTTAGTTGTCGACCGTATTCATTCTTTTTCGAGGCACACAGACTTTTGAACTCTTTTTTTTTTAATTTGTAGTTGTTGAGGTCAATATCACGTTTAGTAGTTCTGTAGACATTTAGACATTTGGATTTTGATTGTTTTAGAAGTTCACAATTTTGATCGAACCAAGGGGGTTGGGTATAGAGACGACGATATGGACGACACACTTTGAACATTGGTTTAGCTGCTCTAACAAGGACATGACTGAGCTGTTCAACAGAAACATTAACGTCAAGTGTCAAGGCGTTTTTGAGATCACCAAGAATATTGCAGGAGTAATCGTCTGAGATAGTATTTATAAAGTCATTTTTGTGTAATGGATTCCATTTGAATATATGCCGCTCATGGGTCTGTGAATCACATTCATTTGTTGTGTTTTGTACATGATCGATGTTCGCCTTTATTTCACACTGAATTGGAAAGTGATCAGAGTCATCAAATTGTCCAACCTTAAAGTCTCTTATTTGTGTGTTTAATAGACTCCTCTGCGGACCAGTTACCCCCTGTCAACTGGCCATCACCAGATACCCCTCCCCATCCTTTTTTAGAAGCATCAGATTTTAAAGTAATGGAGGGACTATCTAAAACTATAGATTTCTTAGAATTTGATAAATTACTGATCCACCAAAGTAAATCGGATTTACATTCGTCATTTAAGAAGATTTTCTTCTCAAAATTACCATAAGCCTTACTCAAAGACAATGATTTAAAATTATCACAGCGTCTATAAAATAGCTCCCCATAGTGTACTCCAGGGAATGCTGCTACCATTTGCCCAATAAGTTTAGCAAACTGTCTTATAGTTATAACTTGTTAGAATGGTATAATTGAGTGCAAGCTACTTTAAGTTTATTAAGCCTTTCAGGGGTTAGTCGAACAGTCATAGCAACTGAATTCACAATAAAACCTAAATAAACTATTTCTTGAGTAGGCTCAATAACAGATTTGTCTGGGTGCACAATGAACCCAGCTTTAAGAGAGAATGCTATAGTATCTTTTATGTTGTTTTGACAATCCTCAAAATCATCTCCTACTAATAAACAATCATCAATAAATGATGTATTCATGTGCCCAAGCTTTCTCAGCTCTGAGAAGAGGACATTTGTAATTTTCGTAAAAATTCTAGGACCTGAGCCTAACCCATTGGGCAAACAAGTGAACTGATAGAGAGCATCACACCACTGGAATCTTAAAAACTTTCTATGAGCATTCTTAATTGGTACCGCATGATAAGCATTCGACCAGTCAATAGATGCCATGAAGCAATTAGGAGTAATTAAATTAAGAGCATGATGGAAAGAATCCATTTTAAAATGTTTGTAGACAACTTGATCATTGAATTCTTTAAGGTCTAAAATGATTCTTAAGTTACCATCTTTTTTATCTCTAGTAAATATATTCGAAACAAATTGTCCATCAGCATATTCAACTTTTTCAAAAATCCCTTTGTCTAAAAGGTTTTTAATTTCAAATGACACTTGAGAGCATTTGGACTCGTTAAATTTGTACGGTATTGGTAAATTAATCTGATTAGGTAAATTATGAAGTTCGATTTCAATACCACAAACAGTTTTTAAGACCTGACTATCTGATGTCAAGGTTTTCCAAAAAGGTAAATGCTCTTTCAATTCTCCTGCTCTAAACGTTTTAACACGAGCATGTAAATATTTGAGTAATTTATCCTTGTAACTCTCCCAAGATAGAGAATTATTAAGAAAACTCACCAGATCATAATCTATTTCTTGTCTGACTGAGAAGTCTTCTTCCAACTGGTCTTTTGATTTTGATACATCTTTTTGTTGTATTGGTACTGGTGGGCCGGAGGCTTCTTGTAACGATAATTGCCTTGATACAAAAAAGATTTCCCTTTATAATTATTATTGGAATATCTTGAATTGCCTTTCACACCATAACCCTGCGAGTAATTCTTTGACGATGTCACATTTGAGCCAATTTGTGCAGCCTCTTTTAACTCCTTAAGTTTTTTGCAGATATCATCCCCGAACAGAAATTTACTTGATCCGGTATCCAAGTTCTGTGACTGATTACAAATTGGTTTGTAAGTTGGATTAATATCAAATTTTATTGAGTCTCTACGGCTCTGGTTCAGAGTTTGTACAGTGTGTCCTAATAAGGACATACAATCCATTGCCAACTTAAGTTCCACAGTTAACAAATCCTTATTGACTGGTAACTCCTTTTTAGTTTCCAATAACTTATCCACAAGTGACATCATAGTATAGGAACTTTTTAGAATTAGTTCTCCAAGTTTTTGATATTTAATATCTTTAGAACGGGTGTAACCTTTAATACTGCTACCCCAAATTTCAGCATTCACAGACTGTAGGTAAATGTCAACATTTCCAGGCCTTGTGGTTTTGTTAAGTAATTCCAGTAATTTTTCATCTGGTAATTTGCTTGAAAAAATTTGTTTCACAATGGAGGCAACCTTTGGGTTAATGTTATTCCCCACTTTATCGACTATAGAATAATCTTGTTCGAGTGAGTCCAGGACCTCTCCGATGCCGAAATCAACAACATTCACGTCATTGTCACCAGTAGTACTAGTAGAGGCAGTTTTAGGCGAATTGTCACCAATTAATGCTTCTTTATTTCGATCATCGGCTAGTAAGTCGTCAATTTGTTCGCTTACATCCTTATCAGGAGTATCAAGTTTACGTTTTTTGAACGTTCGTTGAGTTAAGGGAATGTCTTCATCAGAATCGGAAATTTCCGTTTCTCGCCTTGTTGAATCCCGTTTCCTGTTAGAATTGATGACGACTTCAGGTTGTCGCAAATTCTTCAAAGAATTTTCCAAGATTTTGAAAAATTCTGCACGAGAATCATTATGGATTTTAAGCATATCCTGCTTTAAACCATCCAAATTAGCCTGAGTAACTGTGGAGGAACTATCTCTCTCAGTTGTCGTAAAGTCGCTTTCTGCTACTTTCGTTTTGTTTATACTGGCTACAGACTTCTCTTTCGCCGCTGACGATGGAGTCTGTGGATTAGATTTTGACCTGGGTGAATTTTCACTCCTAGTTGGGGCAAAGTCCATTTCGGTAGTTTTACCGGTTAGTATTTCAGATTTAGTATTTCTTTTCCTCTTAGGTTCTTTATCTTTATCGAATAGAATGCTAGCAAAATCGAAATCAGATTTGAATCTTGAAGATTTCTTCTGTTGTTCCGCCATTTTCTTTTCACGAAAAAACGTGTTCTGACCGAGTAGACCGAACAAAAATTATTTTTTCCGGGCTAAAGAAATGAGGTTAAGAGCTAATTGTAGCTAATTAATAAGAGTAGTATTGCAAAGACAAGTTTTTCAACCAATTTTGGTTAATAGAAATAACTTATTGAAGTTAAATTTCTAAAAACTTGCAGACAGCTTTTCCACCGTGCTTTCACGGTGAAGGTGAAGCGTACTAATGGCGATTAGGTGATGCGCACGCAATCTCGCATGACTCGAAGCTTACGTCACACAGTAGGACAGAATTAACACTCAACGGCTATCTATATACGATCAGATTCAGAATTAAGTTGTTGGTATCCGAGGATCTTTTTATTTTGTGTTTTTAACAATTTTCAAGTGTAAATAATTTAATGAAATCAACCTGTCCATAATATCATATTCATTGTATTGGACGTTAAATCTTTAATAAACAACAACAACAGTTGTTTTCTGCCACTTCTCAGAGTGAATCGCATGTAGACACCCCATAACATTGCCCAAATCTAATTTCTATCGTCTGCTTGAGCCTCGATGCGGCCACGGAACCACAATGCTTTGCACGCGTTGTCTGGGCCAATCAGCAAACGAGTCCTGTTGGAAGCATAGCAACAAGCGGAGTGTGTTTACATTTTTACGGGTTTTAAAACCCTTTTGTATTCCTTCAAAATGAATTCATCGGCAATATTTTGGTCATATTTATAAACTAGAGATTCTCCGCTTTACAACGATGCCATGCATTTTTCAAGAGGATGACAGGTCGCCCCGCTGCGAGCAGAGAAAAATATCTAATTCCACTGAGAATATTCAGAAAAATACTGATTTAAGAATACGGTACTCTTACAAAACGTCCAAAAAAGGCGTTTTAAAATGTTTTATTGCTATTTTGATCTTTTGAGTCGATAGATAGTATATTTATTGACTCATTTTTGTGAAAATCTCAATTTCGATCAAAATCAATATTTTCGCTTATTTTGTCTCTTGTGCAAAATTAATTTTCCCGCATTCTGACTCATATTGATGCGGCGAGTCACAATAATGTTTATAAAAGCTAACTGGGGCTTGTCCAACCTCCTGTAAAAGTCTAACTTACGCTCGCATGAATCACTTGAATACTAGCAATCAGTATAACAGTCTGATTCTTCCGCTTTCATCAGTATCATGTAATGGGGGTGAACCTTGTCTTGACAGTTATTAGGTCACATACGCGCCGGTAAAGCTGAGGTTGGGAAACATTTTCCATCCATTCTTCCCCTCTGTTTTTTTTGGTAGAGAGGGTGACCGCGACTGGTGTCATAGTGAATCATAAGGAATATGCTTGACAATTCGCTCTATGAATTCAGCGAATCAGAAAACCTATAGTTTAAAACATTACTAACATCGTTTTGTCTCGCCAAAATTGGCCGCCATTTTGAATATGACCTCAACCTGGAATACCCTTTGGTCGGAACATGTTTTTATGTTTATATCTGAAGTAACTGACACCGAAAACCTATATTTTAATATACTGCACACCTTTGTTAGGGGACTATATGGGTTTTCCTCCAAATTAAGCCTCCATTTTGAATTTGGCCCCCTAGCGAAATTAGCCGTCACTTGCAGGAGGAATACCCTACTCATTGGATTCAGCGGGTCGAATTCTTCTAGAAACATATTCAAACCGAGGTCATATATTTTACCCCACTGAATAACCAGAAACCGCCTCATGTCGGCCATCTTGAATATATAAAATTTCCCCAATTCTGAATCAACACATAGAAGATATATAATCCACCAATAAAATTAGGTAGATTATATTTCCATGTCAAGGGCTTAAAATGGGTTTGGCAACCGGACTTTATGGTTCTATGTCAGTGGTCACTTGAGTTGAACCACTACTTATTATTCTTCATACGATTAATTAATCTTTAATAGATATTACATACTCATGAAAATATGTAATACACAGAATTCTCAATAAGTCTGACTCAGCTGATAAAGCGAAATTGTTGGGAGGGGGCGCTTGGTTGTCGTGTCTTATGGGAGAACCCCACCAAACAAACTCTCTAGAAATGGGCAGTGTGATCCCTGGGGTGCTGAACAATTTCCAAGCAGTTTTAAGTGGTACACACTTCAGCTACTCAAGCCTAATTGCGAGGCGTGTCATTTTGGGCGTGTCTGTTAGGGGTAACCCAACGTACAATCGGTTTGGCAGTGATCATTCATGATTCCTGTGGTGGTGCTGAACAACACCAAAGCAGTTATAAGTGGTACATATTTCAGCTAATCTAGCCTAGTCATCTAGCCTAGTTGCGGGACGGGGCATTTTGGGAGTTTCTTTCAGGGTTACCCCACCGCAATATCTGTCTGACAGTGGTAATTCATGATCCCTGTGTTGGTGCTGAACAACTTCCAAGTACTTTTAGGTGGTACGGACTTCAGCTAATCTAGCCTAGTTGGGGGGGGGGGTATTTTCGTCGTGTCTGTCAGGGTAACCCACCGCACAAATTGTCTGGCAGTGATCATGGTTGGTTCCTGTGGTGGTGCTGAGCAACTTCCAAGCAGTTTTAAGTGGTACAGATTTCAGCTATTCTAGCCTAGCTGTGGTCTGGCAATTACATAACTCTGTCGGGGGTACCCCACCACTAGAAATGTCTGTCAGAGTGTTTTTGTAATACTTGAAGATGTAAGGTACACTGCTGTACCATTTTCATGTGGTACACTTTTGAGCTAATCTAGCTCAAGAATTCATACCCAGAATCGCAGTCCTCACAGCCACACCCACCACCAGATACCCGGCAGACTTATATTCTGATGATACCAGATATGGATGCATTAATACCATATAGGTGAAAATTGGTACACTTTTCAGCTAGGTTGTACAAAATTGAATAACAGTAGTCGAGTCTTGATGTAACCATAATGTTTACCAGCATTTTAGTCGTGTCACTATCAATGTAAAATCTAATTTTTCCAATATTATAAATCTGAAACTTAATACTTTTACACATGACCGAAATTTGTTTATTCCATGTCCAGATTAGAGTCAAAATAAACACAATTGAAACTTAATACTTTTACACTTGGCCAAAATTTGTTTATTCCATGTCCAGATTAGAGTCAAAATAAACACAATTGAAACTTAATACTTTTACACATGGCCGAAATTTGTTTATTCCTTGTCCAGATTAGAGTCAAAATAAACACAATTGAAACTTAATACTTTTACACATGGCCGAAATTTGTTTATTCCATGTCCAGACTAGAGTCAAAATAAACACAATTGAAACTTAATACTTTTACACATGGCCGAAATTTGTTTATTCATGTCTAGATTAGAGTCAAAATAAACATCCAAGATTTTTTTTTAGAAAAATTGTTGGTGTAATAGAGATATTGCCAATTTGATAGTTTTCTATTTTACATTTTAGTACTTGCTGCCCGTTGCTGACTTAAATTAATTCTGTTTTGTCATCATTGAGTTTAAATAAATTTGAGTCTATCCATTTACGAATATCTGATAAATAGGCCTGTGGGTGTCTTTCTCGTTATACTGATACGTTGGCTCTTCGCATGTCTACGCACAATCTTATATCAGAATTCTTTTTCTCGTTAAAAGTCTGTTCATTCTGGGATGATGTCCATTACTATGCAGAGATAGCCTGTTCACATCATGGCTTAACCCCACAATGGATTTTGCTTGTCTGTCGGATACTTCTAAAGCTCTAGTAATGTCTAATACATCTGCCAACGTTAAGTTTGTTACTCTTTCTAAATGTTTCCCTCTTAAGTTGCGTGAATTCCATTTTTTAATTACTTAATCTCGAATTTCATTACTGACATTGGCGAAATCACAACTCTTCCGAATTCTGGCGAAGTTTCGTTACAAATTGTTCCACCGTGTCGCGGTCATTTTGAGACATACATCTGAATACATGTCTTTCGTAACGCACTTTAGACTGGGGGAGGGACTGGTTATCAAATATAGGTCCAATGTTAAGGGCAAGGTAAAGTGACACCATCTTGTTCCAAACTAGTCTCGACACCAACAAGGCTGAACAAATTATTTTCCATCACAGAATAGTTGCTCTTGGATACCAAAATCAACTATATTACTCATAATACACTATTTCACTGTCAATACCCCTTTAAATCCTACACCCGCGTGTTATCATGTAAACGAAAATTTCAATTTCATCACTTTTTGCCCAATCACGGTTACACCTAAATGCTTTTTGACTTATACTTTCACAATTATCGATAAATCAGGTGTTAATTCGTAATATTATAGACTATTGCCCAGCATTTGCAAGAACTGTCACATCTTTTAATGTCAACATTATTCATATGGAGCTTTCTATAAATTGATGAAAACAGAACTAAAAAAATCTGAGCTATCATGACTGCCGTTGTCAAGTGTTCGTTAATGTTAACAAAAAGGCTTGTTTCTAAATTTGGGATAGATTATTATTCATTTATGTTAGAATAATAAGCATTCTGAGGGTTTGGTATAGAATTTGTAACCTAAATATAATTTTTGTATGCCAAATTCTTTTCTATGGCGTACCATTTGCAACATATCCTATGTTCTAATCAAACATTCAGCTGGGCATTTCCATATTCAGTTGTTGACTATTAGTGTACAATTTAACAAAGATTAAACACTGTGATGAGTGTGAATAAATA